CCTTGGTGCTGCTGACTGCTGGGCAGGGGCAGTCTGGCTGCAGGGCAGGGGCACTGCTGGGCACTGCAGCTGCTTCCTGGCCAGGAAACTGAGCCCAGAGGCTGCAGCATCAGGGTCTCACCCCAGAGATTCCCAACAGCATCCAGCAATCGTGCAAAGTAGCAATGGGCAAGGTGCAGTAGGACTTGAAGCATCAGGTGGCATATCCATCCATGGCTCATACAGTCACAATTACTGTTTGTGCATCTGCTTGTCCAGGAGACATCATTCCTAAGCTGTGTAACTGCACCTTAAACCAGCTGAAATTTTATCTGCAACAACATTCAGCTGTGATAGATTTGTCAGAGGTGCTGGAAGAATCCCAGTCCTCTGTGACTGAGAGCTTATGTTGACAGGTGGTTGCTTTGTTTCAGTAGATGGAAGAGGGATTCTGTAGGACTTCTGGGACTGAGAAACCAGATTGTGCAGCTAGGAGTGGCCCTGCAGTCCTGCCTGCAGCAATCACCTCCTACACTTGAGTCACCTGCAGATTTTGTCCCAACTGGTTCTTCCCAAGCTCCTGCAGTGCAGCAGTGCTGCTTCCTCAGCCAGTGGGACCCAAAAAGGTGAAGAGAGCAGAACTGCAAGGGCAGCATGGCCAAGGTACCTGGCTCCCATTCTGGGTCTCACTTTTGGTTTGGCATCAGTTTTGAACAAAAAAGCAGGGTTTGTGTGTGTGTGTGTGAGCATGGGGGTCGTGGTTTATCTAATACTGATTAAGTGGTAATTTTTAAAAATGCAAATAGATTTTTAAAGACGAAAATGCAGTACTCAAGACAGCACCAAATTCACCTGTTAATACATATTAGAATTTAATTTCATTGTACAGTCTCTCCCTCTGCTTCCTTACCTACTGGACAGGGAACATCAAGTGTTGTTACTGTATTTTGATGGCAATACTATTCTGTTTCTCCATAAGTCAATTAGTAAAAAAAGATACTCGACTTTCAAAAAAGAGTTGTTACAGAAAAAAAAGCATATTTTGAAGCCATCTAATTACATCTCAAAAATGCAATCATAAGAAAAGAATTTGCTTTTAGAATACAAGACACGTTACAATGCAAAAATACACTTCTGGAGTCTGCCTACCATGAGCAGATTGTGGTGTAGATTTGACTTACCCTTGTTATGTTTCAGCATATTTATTTGCTTTTTGACTGGAGCAGAACTGCCACATGCTGATCAATTCAGCTTGCTTATGCCTTTTGTGCCTCTCCTGGGGTGTGCAATATGAAAAGCCTTGTTGTTTTAAAAACAGAAAAGCACCAACCCAAAACTAAAATCACCCTCCAAGCTGCACATCATGGCTGATGCAGAAATCCTCCATTTCTCCTGGTCCTGTTCACAGGTCTGCCATGTGTTTTAACATTGCCTCAGTGGAGGCCATTCACAAGGTGCAAGGAAAGGATTACATTACTTCCCAGATGATGACTGTGCAGCTGCCAAAAGGGATGAATTCATCGTAAGCACTACTTTTAAAAAGCTTTGTTAATTTGCTCGTGAGGACTATCCAGATGCAGCTGATTACCCTGTAATGAGGTTCCTAAATCTGACAGTCTAACAGGCTTTTGAAGGTGTCCAGCTTATTATACAGCATGATTTTTTTATTACTTTTTTTAAGCTCTTCATATGTGGATGCCATAAATGGATGTACTCCTCAATAATGAGACAGTCTAAGGGAGGTTTATGGGAGTTAATTAATGTGGTAACAAGGAAAAAGAAGATAACCATGAAAGACACCTTCTGCTTGTCAGCTGGAGGTTTGCAAATAGTTCCTTATGTAACATCTGAATGCCAGATGCAATAAAAAAGGACTGGGCCATCATTTTGAAATAAGAAGCCAGTAACATGAGTTACTATATGCACCTCACAGAATTTTGGGAGGCTTTGGCACTCTTGTTTCCTTTTCTAAGAATATTCTGTAGTTCCATTATCTGCAAGGCACAGGTTTATTCCCATCTTGGTACATGGTTGAAAAGGGCAAGGCACAGAGAGCTCAGCACAAGAAGCCCCATGATCCTTGCAAGGCATGGACTCAAGACTCATGCCCCGTGCTGCTCAGATTTTTGAAGAGACAAAATGATTTCCCTGACATGTGGGGCAACTTCCATCATCTGCTGCTGGAATCAGCACTAAAATGTTTCCCCAGATGCTATTAGTAAAGCTGGTTTAGTTTTTCTTGGTCCTAATCTGTAGATTAGGGCAAAATATTTCTGTGGGCTGCTAATAATTCTACTCTTCAGTGTTACATAAAGGGATTTCAACACACAGTGTGTGTCATTTAGCCCAGTGAGAACTGAAATGCTGGGGAATGTTATAGACTATCTATGGTCACTCACTCTGACCACCAGAGAGCTTCTGGCCTCAAGGCTCAGGAAATACACAGATTTTCTGTCATTTGGCATACAGTACCCCTATGTAAATGTTGTACCTGTACTTCAAAAAAAAATATAATAAATGGATGTAATGAGTCTTAGTACTTTTGTGCCCCTTTAGAAAGGAAAAAAAAAATCTGCGTTAAAAAAGGATCTAAAGCTGAAAAAAGAAATGGAAGCAGCCATAGTTTGGAAGTCACTTGTGAATTTACTCTTTAATTTTATCTGCATTTTAATTAATCTTTGAAATGAGATGGAAAAAGCAGCCTAATTATAAGTAAGGTGCTGTGTAGCATAAATCCATAGCACAATTCTGTGTCTGCAGTAGGACACACTTGGGGCTCAGTAATGGGGGAAGGTCAGTTACATTCCCCAGTACAGAATTTATGCTAAGTGGAAAGCACTTTCTTTTTCACAGTACCTTGAAATTTAAAAACATGCTGGGGTAGAGAATCCTGCTGTTAGAAGATGCCATTTGCTTTTTCAAAAGAAACCAACACAAGAACACAGTAACAACTGTTTTGCATTTAAAAGGTACCAAAAAATTTAAAACCTGAAATCTTTGTTTAATGAAATTCAAACTGAAATATTTTTTATAGGTTACCACCAATTTTCTATGCTCCTCTCAGCAATTCCAAAAGAATTGCTCTTGTCTTTGGTTACAAGAAATCCCACTAGCCTTTCACAGCTTCATGCTAAAGGAATTGGGTCTAAGTCTCAGATTCCGTATGTCAAAATGGCATTTTCTTCTATTTCTGTTTTTATTCCTACACACATCCACCCTACCCCAAATGCCTTTCATCATGTACCTTGCATTCCACAGAGGTAGTGCAGTGCTCTGGATCCAGAGGCAGTTATTGTAATATTTTATCTATACTTAACCAGCATCTGTCTTGGATTAATAAAATAAAATACAGAAAGCCCCTGAACCTGAAGTACAAACATATTGGATAAGCAGGACTTTCCTCCTGCACTGTGGTCTTGCTTGAAACAGAATAAAGCAACAGAAATGCAGCAAACTATGATTAGTAACAAACTCTGAACTACCCAAGGGAATGATCTAGGTTAACCTAGAACTGTGCCAGAGAGGTAATGTGGTAGAGACTTTCTTCCATCAAGTTAGTCAAACAGTTCTGAACCAGCCACCATTTTGCTGCAGAGAAAAACCCCAAAAATCAGTCTTGCTTTTCATCAAACTAAAAATGTTTTAATTCTATTTTTATACATTCTATCTTGTGTGCATGAGAAGTATTTAGAAAATTAGGAAGGGGAGGCTTTTTCAGAGGTAGCTTCTTGTAGTGACTCATGTCAGAGAAATGACAAAAGCTGACAAAACATCCTTAAACCTGCAGTAAATACTCAGAGCAGTGTGTTCCTTTATCAGCTCCCATTAAACTGCAGCCAAGTGTTACTGAGTTGTAGTAAGAGCAGAGGAGCGATTGAAAAACACTAAACACCCCAAATATCAAGCTGTGCATGCTCTACCACAGAGTGGTCTGAAGCCAGGAATTGCTTTTATTTTTTATCTTAAAAGCACAGTACTTCCTATGGAGGACCACTGCTTAGGCAATTGCTTTTCCATGGCGTAGTCATCCAGCACTAAATGAGATGCCTGCACGATATGTTTTGACAGGTGCTGCTGAGTTGTTTGGTTGAGGCAGTTTCAAGTCATGTCTCATGTTTGCTTTTAGTGGTTCTGGAATGGAATTTTTCTACTCAACAACTCAGTACAGTACCCAGAAATAACTGCTGTATGCTCACAATATTCAGCAGAGCAAAAGCAATAAAATATCCAGAGCATGTGAACAAGCAACTGGCAAGAATGGAAAAAGAGGCCACAGGTCTGCAAACCTTCTGAAGGCCTAGGAGCCATGGCCCAATGGGCGGTTCATCCCCCTGTGCAGAGCACACTTCTTTGTGCACGTGTACTGGGAGCTGCCCTTCTGGAGAGTGAGCTGTGTCACTCAAGCTCTTGAGTAGGCCTTGAAATTAATTGATAAAGCCTATCTGGATTTGTCTATCTTAGAGAGAAGGGGAGAAGCACCTTCTGTGCATTACCCAATCACAGTGCAGGTAATTTGTGCCCTTATGTCCATGTAATGGCAGTCTAAGAGAAACCACGTTACTTGTAAGGGTGTACTGAGAAATGCCAGACAACATTTCATAGTCCCTGTCCTGAAAGCAATGGGACATAAATTGGCTATCAGTGAAAAATACAATTCTTTCAGCCAGTATTATCTTTCTTGATGAGGAGGGATTCATCCATTGCCCAAATCAACGCTGCACATCAGCCAGCCCAAAGATACGCAGTCACTTCCCCACAGTTCTGTGGCACTGGAAGCTGCCCATATTACAACAGTTCTTTTGCTTTAAATGTTTAAGAAACACATTCCCCTATATCATTTATTCATCACTACAGAGAAGGAAAAAAAAAGTGATGTCTGACTTGAGTCTTAAAGTAATTCTTTCTTCATCACAAAGATGAAGTCCATCAACTCAAAATTAATTATATAAATCTTTAGGTATGCATTAAAACAAAACACTTTCCCTTCAGAAGTTTTTGTTCAACTGACAAAGTACACTAAGGAGTGTAAAAAATATTTATTCAACCTAATTCAACATAACTATAATTTTCAATACTTAAAAACAAGATTTACAGATTAATGACCTTTAACCACTCATGTGAAATCATCTTACAGTCCATACAGTATTTTATAATTGTATTTTTACAATAGCTTTAACTTCCAGAGGAGACAATGAGCTTTTCCATTAAACAAGTTTCAAACCCACTAATTTGCATCATTCAATTCTTTCCATGAGACTTTAAAAAACAGTAATAAATTGCTTGGAAATATATACAGTGAAGACCACTGAAAAGCTGTTTTCTTGAAACGAGGAATTCTGTAAGAAATACATATTATATTGTTTCAAGACTATCTTACAGAGTGTAGCAACTTTCAGAGGCTGCTACTCAGTTTAGGTTTTATATAAAAGTGAGCCTACTAAGACAAATATAATTAGCAGACTGACAAGGTTATAGTAATTCTTCCATTACAGCAAGAGCCTCAAAAGTATTTGATATTGATTGAGTGTATAATTTTTAACACCTGTATAGGTTTTTAATACTAACTGGCCTTTATATACACTTTTGTACAGTTTTAAAATATTACATCTTGGTAATTAAGATAAACATACTATAGAAAAGGTACCTTACTTTGAATTTCTCCTAACATACATTATTGCAGTCAAATAGGAAGTCCATTCTGCATTTACTTCATTTCTGGTGAAAAGAAATATTTACTAATGAATAATTCCACTCAAGTATTTTTAAGCTATTCTTCATGCATTTGACATACTAATATGAACAAGAGAAAACTCGGAGAAAAACAAAGAAATTGTTGTTAAGAAAGAACTTCAAATACGAAATCCAGATTAGGTCTGGTATGAATATGCAATATTCAAATTATGTTTGTCAGAATTTAACTTCACAAAACAATCAATTTCTGGTGAAATTAGATTTAGAAATACGTCAAATAATTGAAGTGCTAATGTCTCCCTCAACTGACTACTTTAGACATATGGGAACAGTAAAGCTTACTGTATAAATAAACTTTATGACACATTGAAGATTTATCCTGTAGTCCTTTACAAACTGGAGCCCGTTTACCTTAAGCCCAGGACCCTGTGCAGGATGCCCAGCTCAGGTACCCAGAGTGCAGTGTCAGCCCCCTGCAGGCAGCACTGCCAGCAGAGCCCAGTCCTGAGCAGAGCTGAGTTACACTCTCGGCTCTGGCTGCTTCAGGGGATGCCCTGCTGGCACTTCACATGGAGCTTTAGTGTTCAATGCTGCTTTCTCACAGGTTTCTATGGGTATTTACACAACATAAAGGAATATGGAAATTAAACAAGTGTTCTAATACTTAACTACAAAATAAGCAAGTGAAATTTACTTCCCCCTTGTAATTATTTTAACTGGGGGAAAAAATGCAATCCAGCACCAGTTACAAACCAGTAAAGCCATGAGAAAATTACACTAGGCACTGCAGAAGATACAACAGGACACTGAAAATTACCAGTAGTAAAATAGTCACCTGAAAGCCATGCTAATTTTAACACCTAATACTTAGGTGGTTAAAGCTGACATACAAGTCCTGCAGAGAGTGATCTATCTTCTGCTTTCTCTGTCATTTGAGTATTTCACACTCCCTGTTTGATACCAGCAAAACTCAAGGAAAATTGTTTCTCCTTGGTAATGACTCACACTCCCCTTCTAAAGCAATCTCCCTTCATTGTGTGAAATGCTAAACTGAATGACAGCGTGGGTACAAAATCACCTAGCGAAAAGACATTTGGATATAGCCTACCTAACTACACTTAAAATGTTCTGTAGTTGATTCTTTTTTTTTTCCATTCAGTATATTGGCTCAAAGAAAATAATTCAAAAGCCTATTGCCCAACAGAAATACCCAAAAAATAATGAAAGCCAAATCACATTCTTAGGTTCAGTGGTTGCTGAAAGGATTTACCCTGCCACAAGACAGTGCTTTATTGTATTTAAAGGAAAAAAAAAAATAGAGGAGCAGCAACTTATCACAATTTTCCACTACTGTGCAATAACAATGGAACCAATACAACATGGAAACCTGTTAGGTGAGACTCTGTGACATCTGGAGGTTACAGCCTTACGCTCCTTCTTGTTCAGGATAATTTAAAATTTTGCGGTGAGCTTGGCGCAAATATTGCTGCTGCTTGAAGTAAACCTTAAAGGCTCCTTTTATAGCAACAAAAGCAATTCCACCCTGAAATAAAAAGATATTTTGAAAACCTGCACAGTTCAGTGTCATATCACTGCAAATATTCTTAAAAATTTCCAGTCAGAGAAGATTTGTTTTCTATACATATGGTATTTTCTTCTAAAGATTAACTAATTAGTACAGTTTCAAATGAGTATGTCAAAGTTTTCTGTCACAATGCACTATTACAGAGGTTAACGTTACTTAAAGGGATTACAGACTGAATCTATAAAAGACTACAGACTTTATCTATAAAATCTATAAAAGCTATATACTCACCAGTATTCTAAATTTTGAAAATCAAAATCTTATTTCAATAACAAAGCAAATGCAGATATGTATCTGCTTTCCTCCCTTCTCTGAATGTATACTATACAAGGCACAAGGAATAGTACTGATAACCATTCTATAACTAAACTGTGAAAAATGGCACTTGCCAAAAGTGGAGCAAAATAAAATCTATTTTTGTAAAACAACCTTTTTTCCCTCTAGAAAGCTTTACAATATGTTTATCTCAAGTCTTCAAAATGAGACACCAAGAAGCTTTTAGTTTGCATGAACATTTGCAATATCACTGTTTGATCTGCATAAAAGAGAGGGGTGCACAAACATGCAGGAATTGAAAACGGGCTGTGGTGACAGTCAGATGAGCAGGGATTCCATATTACCAAACTCAGTGTACTTGTCCTTGAAAGGCTGCAACCAGAGAGGTTATTCACAAAGCAAGAGATTGCCATTCCCTCTCCATATGAACTCTATGGAGAATTAATTTTCCTCTCCTTATTAAAATAAGAAACAAAGAGTTTCTCTCCAAATCAGTAAACAAAAGCTAATATGAAAAGGTTTATAATATAAATCCCAGTCTTCCCTTACAGAGACTGCTCTTAAAAGATGCTGGCTCCTCATCTTCACTGTCAGCATTAATTACTGCTAAGGCCTGCTCTACTATAGTGCCAGATAAAACTTTCATCCTTGTCATGAACTGAGATTAGTTTCAGTCATAAAGAGTCTTTCACACACATGATGTTTGTCCACTGCTAAGACAGGCAACCTTAAAAAAACCCTTTCTTTAATCAAATACTGTTCTGAAAATTCCAGATCAATTTGTGCTCCTTTTTCCTTTGCCTCCCTCCTTCACAACCCTTCATATTCCTCTCGTATAATAATTTATGAAAGAGAGTATTGAATCTTACCAAGATTGTCCTTTGTAAATTTGAGTTAACACTGCTGAACATCAGCTTGCCAACTATTGTGGCAATAGTAGGGAAAACTAGAGCTCCACACAGAATCCGTGTGGCAGAGACGTGATCTGCCAGAGGGTTGGCCTCTGCTGGGATACGAGGAACAGGACATCCAATGCCTAAAGGGAGAAGAAAAGGTTACACGGCCTATACTGCCTCCAAAAAGAACACAGAAAGTGCACTACTGCCCACTCCCCACTCCAGTACAAATCTATAGCCAACTGCTTTGTGAGAACTATCCCTCTTCTCAGTGAATATTCTGTTTCCATTCAACGACTGCAGTTTTACTTTCAAGTAAGACCATGACTTGTAGTAGCTTGTTTTGTTTAAAGCCTGAACTGAAACCATGCTCCTGCTACTCCTGCCACACCCATCTCAGGACATATTACACAAACACAATCTAAACAGAATGACCATGAATTAGAGGAAAAGTGTTAATCAACTCTACCTAAAAATAGCAAAAACTACTTGCCTATCCCCATCTCCTAAAGGCAGAAGTTCAATCTTGGCATTTCTTTTTTAATTGAATCACATTACCTGGAAATATGCTGTTCAAAATTTGTAGTTTATTGGAGTATTTGCGCCACAGTCTGAGCACATAGTCCTCCCAACGGATCATCTTGCCCAGTATCAGCATGACTGGGATAGTGGGAAGGCCAATCAAAAGGAATAAAGGATCAGCTCTCTCCATCACATCAAGACCTTCTTTGTGACCCACAACCTAGAAAATATGCATATAGTTGACAAATATAACAAAGGCCACAACAATGTTACAATGTACAAATGAACAAAAATGTAACTTAAAAAATTGAGTTTGTTTGAAGCTGCCCACGTGTTTTAAGTTAAAGAAAAAAAGAACACTGTTTTACCTAATTTACACTGTTTTCTCTTTGTATCCTTGGTTGCTTATAGAGGATAATGCAGGTGAGCTAGCAGCCCTATTTTGCAAACCATTATTACTGCAGAGAGCTGTAAAAGAATTCCCGACCATCTCAAGAAAGGTTTCATGTGTTTCTGTGTGAGTAAAAGCCTTAACATCTGAAACACTAATAATACAGCAAGCTTTCCAAAAGGCATTTAAGAATTTACAGTTTTATAACAATTAATTCTACACTCAGAAACTGATCAGACACTACTGTTCACAGGATAAATTGATAGTAGGTACCTCAGGATGTTTTTATCCATATTTTGTGGTTTTTAGGAATACCTTACATAACAGAGATCACAGTATTTAACTATTGTTTCTCTGCACAATGCAGGAAGATGAACATTATTTTCAACTGTAGTGGAAATAGCAGCATATCTTCACATGTACCTTATTTTCATATGTAGTTAGTTCAAAGATTTGAAAAGATCATTATTACTGCTGTGTCTATACCTTTCTGCTGATATATAAAAAAATTAATCAGATTTTTCCATTTATAAAATGCAGATGTTACAACTGCAACAGAACAGTTCCTTATGTCTTTTAAAAAGTACATTGCTTTAATTTTAAATAAATCCAATAGGACTGAGGATAAAAAATTACATTAGAGTGGTACATATCCTCTAGATTTGTCTCAATTTAATCAGTATAAATGCTAATATAGTCCTTGAATTGCTTCCAGGAAGAACAGGCTCTTTCATGACTTTTTCTGTAAGAATCTGGTAGGACAAAAAACACTAAAATAATAATTATGTTTGTCAGGCACTGGATTTTCTGATGTGTTTTCATCGACTTCTTGTTTTCCCCACAAGTACAATAACTTACCAAGTCTTCAATTGCACAAAAATTAGAATTAGAAGGTAAGAACATGAAACAACAGCAAAATTGTAAAAAAGGAAAATAACAAACCCAGTACTTCTGGAATAGGTAGGACACAGGGAAGAAGCTACAGTAATGCACCACAGTACCTTCCAACTGTACACTTTTGCTTTGCTCTGAAAAGCAATCCATGTTACACCTCCAGAACAGGAAGCTATGTTATATACCACAGCCCCTAAAAACAGGCATAACCAATATTGCTGCTGCCAACAGATTATTCCTGAAAAAACATTCAGCATTTGTCTTCCAGCTTCTTCAGTATCTTCTACTCAAGCTGTGAAGTCTGACACTATCCTTTTTCTCCTTACAGCCACTGTCCATCAAAAATGCATCAGTATCTTGTCTCTTTCTGCTTCAGATTATTGTATTTCTCTGCTTTCAGTAACTCCATCTGACTTGTTAGTGACTTAGCTACCACAATGTCAATTCTGTATATATTTTTCTGCACCTGAAGTCTAAAAATAGCTTCTGTGCTTCTCTCTGGCCCTTCAACAAGGGAAAAGAGTCTGAAATACATCAGGAGAAAAACTGCATTAAACCTAGCAAGGCTGGGGTGGCAAAAGGGTTGGAACAGTTACCCACTCAGTCTGCTCCTCTACAAGCAAAACTAAATTACTGTCTTGCCCAGCATGCCATCCATACAATCAAAACATTAAATCATGAAAATAGCTGATTCTTCATATCTGGGATTTGACCAGCTGTCTAAACTAATGTTTACACAGATCCTCACTTCAAAAGCAAAACAACTTCAGAACAAAGCATTTATTTTTCCATCTGGCTGCAGAGCTCTAGGGCAGCTAAAAAGGTCACAATTTCCTACAGAAAAAGAAGATCAATGTAGCAGTGAGCAAGGAGAAAAGGACTGATGCATTTCCAAAGCCTTGCTGTAGTATTACAGATGGTTGTAATGCTCCTGTTGGAGCCACAACAACGAAATATCCAATGAAAAAATACTTAATTGCACCACTCTGTAATACACAGACTCACCCTCTGGAATGGAGGGGGCACTGAAAGCCATTGCACATCACCTGTGCAGCTGCTGACCCTTGGCCACACTGGTACAGGGAAACTGCACCCACTCATTTGGGCTCCATTGCTGCTTTCAGATCACTCAGAGCCTGAACCAAAACAGCACACCATCTTCACAGGGCAGGGCAGTACCACACATCTCAAGGACTAGTGCCAAATGACTTATGAAAGAAGAACCACATTGTATATTTAAAATTAGAACTGTGTAGAGAGGTATTTATTAACATATTGGCTTGTTAATTCTATCTACAGCTGAATTAGCATCAGAAATACTTTTATGCCTTCAGGCAAAACACAGGTTATAGACTTTAGATAGGAATCAACAACTGAAAGAGTAAGGAAGTGCTTCTGATTGTACAATCTCTGCAAACTCTGGTCTGTGGTTGAACTAGAATCACCATTACCAAGTCCTTCCATAGGTAACAGGGTACCACCTGTCAACATTACTTTTCTATTTAAATAGTAAGTTCACAAGAACAGAAGCAGGAAAACTAGTTTTCCCCTTTCAACTAATCATACAGTCTGAAGTAATTAAAATATTAATTTGCAGTGTTTCGTATTTCTTGTTTATGAATGAATTGCATCATTCAGAGCATGTATTTTCCTTTATACAATTTAAAAAAAAAATCACAATATCCAGAAAATAGTTTACCATCTTTCAATTTCAACACTTTGAATGTTACTAGCAAAGTTTTTCTCCAAGTAAAAGAAAAGATTACATCTCCTGTCTTTACTGAAGATACTCATTATTGGCAGCTAGGTGGTAATGGCACCTTTTCCCATGAGAACAGAATTGTGTTCACCAGTCTGCCATACACAGGGCAGCCAGCTAGAGCAGCAGTGCAGTTTGTCAGCTGCAGACTGAACCATGCCCAACAGGCAGACTTGCAGTTATAAACTATGGCCGGTTAAACATGAAAACCCATCTTGAACTGACTGGTAAGTACACTGCAAGCAGCTAAGCATGTTTGAAGGCAAGCAAAGAGGAGTCAGAGTGCCTTTGCTCTCAGAGAGGCAGGAGAGGGAAGCTGTACCTGCATGACCGTCACCGCCCCGTACGTAACGGCTGTCCAGTATATGGAGCCCACCATGATTCCAGCTGCAGCAAAGGGACATGCCTTTGAGATCAGGCGATCTGCAAGATCCAAAACGTAAACAACTGGACCTATGATAAAGGAAAAGTAAGGTTTCAAGAGAGATATATATATAGATACACACAGATAAAAGCATACTGTAGAAAAGTCAGCATCTATCACCAATAAGAAAGAACAAACGAGGCAAAGTGCAAGTCTGACATACCACATGTGCTGTTTAAGTGAATGTATATAATATAATATATAATTAAAAAGCTATTAAGCTAAACTTGTAACTTCTGCCTACCTACCATTTCATTCTTCCAGGAGATTGATACACTGCTTAAAGCACTAATTTACCCAGTGATTAGCTTCCTTTGTGTTGAGTAAGAATTGTTCTTTTGTACAAACCACTTTAGGCTTAGTGCCTTTTTTATTTGTTAGATATTTTAGTTTTCTAAAGGAAAAAATACCGATTTGTTGTAATGTACTTCATGTCCTTATCTTTGACAACTACACCTGAAAATTCTGTCACTAAACTATCCTGCTATGTAGTAAAAAGCAGCAGTTAATACAAAAGATTCCTTCCACTGGAAGAAGCTGCATTCAGTATGTTTAAATGATCACCTCTCAAAACACTGGAGGAAAAAAATACTCCTATGCAGGTTATTCAGTGCCTTTGACAACAACACATGAATAGGTTCATTGTTCTGTCTATGCACAACTGCACTTTCCAGACTTACACAGGGCAAGACAATAAATACCCTGACTACCTTTGGTGAGGTAAACAAGGGCAATGCCTGCATCTTTTCTTTGAGGGACTGCAAGAGTATGAGTGAGACAAAAGCCAGAACACTGAAATGTATACATGGAAATGAAAACCATCAGCACCACAATCCACATTACTTTTGTATTTGTCAACAAATTCTACATACAGACTGTCCTCCCACAGCTCATATGCATGAGCAATTCCTGTGAGCTCCTTCTTACTTTTTCCTACCAAAATCAGTGAAAATTCTCAAAACCAGCCTACAGGCATTCCTCAAGTAACTAATCCTCCATGTCTCTCAAAGTTTACCCACAGTGACAAAATTGTGACTCCCATTTCATGACTTAGTTAGTTCTTTTTCTAGAGAACAGCTCTACTGAGAATGCTTTCAAAAATCCCAGTTCCACTAAGCTCAAGTCAGCTGGTGGAAAAAAAACAACAGGAACATCCAGTTCAACTCTTAATAGTTGTGTTTGACTTTCCAGAACACACTTAAGAAGGTGCTGAGATGTCTATCAGTATGCTGGAAGTAGCAACAAGGTCATAACTGCAAGTACTAAATGCACAGTAGTTTACACATCTTGACTGTTTCCCAGAGGCACTGAAAAAGTTGTTTGGTTTTACCATTTTGAAAACTTATGTTTGAAGACAGGAGACTCAAATGACACTGAAGGTTGCCTTATAACACAAGTACTAACAAATTACACCTACTGATACTTATCATTAAGAGAAACCTGGCTAGAGAATCAGGTATTGAATCTTGAGAAAATACTAGAAAAAAATGATTGAAACAATCTTTTAATTAGGCCTTAGGAAGGAAGTAGTGAGAAAGGAGGACAAAACTAGTTTTGCTTTTTAAGATGGTAAGGAGGAAGAAACAGAAAAATAAATATCTCTGATACTCAAATTAAAGAAGGAAATATGAAACAAAAATATTTTTTATTTTGAAAAATAGATCATGCTTTAAAGAGTTTTTTTCTGCCAAAACGTTTTCTTTTTATTAAACTGAAATAATTATCTTAGAGATTCTTTAGTTACTTTCAAAGTGGTAACAATATTTTTTCTATTTAGTGAAAGTACTTGAAAGAGCAGAAAACAGCTCACAGGAACATAATTATCACCAATCACCAGAACTGATAGGCAATATCAAATCTAAAATGGAATTCTGATTTTGAGATATTTCATGAGAGGTTGTTTTGAACTAGTAAATATATAAAGAAACACCCCCTGTTACTTATATTCACTGATGTCTCCTCAAGTTGATATTACTTCTAAACTATAACCATAAATTAAATTTTGTGATGAGGGTATCCTTTCACAGAATTTTTAGAAAAAAGTTTCCAGTAGTACATTAAGGGAAGTCTTAAAAGTAAGTAAGTTTCTGAACTGTGATGCCTCAGGGAAGGGTATGACAAACACTGTCTTCAAAAGAAGTGTTCCAAGGCTTCTTGGAAAATTCTTACTGTCCTTACTCTGCCTGGTGTGACCCTGACTGACTTGTAGTTGAATTGTGCTGGAACAGCTTTGGGTTACTAGAAAGAGTTACATAAGGGCAAGACTGGCTCAGTTGTTTAAGGCACTTCAAGGTCATGACTGATGTTCCATGGACCCAGATTAATTTCCCTGCTCTACTACCAATGTCTTGTGTACTTTTAGACAAGTCTGAATTTTTATGCCCTTATCTTTAAAAATAGAAGATGGTATTATGAGGAAAAATATATCAAAATAAATGAAGGGAGTCTCATATACCTGCATGCAAGAACTGAACAATGTCATGCAAAAATTTTAGGCCATCTTCAGAATGCAGGAATATTGGAATCTAACCTTTCAAATACAGTTTGCCACAAACTGCAGGAACAAATGAAAATGCTTGTTATGTTAATGTATCCTGTCCAAATTATAGTTGCTACCCATTTTTGCCATTGTCAAAATAAAATGCAAACACATCTCACATTACAATTTCATCAGTAAAGACACAAACAAGAATTTCAAACAGTGGAAAGTTTCGTGGTGCATTCTGTGTCCAGATGGAAACCCAGTTTTCTTCCCAAAGCCAATTGTAAATGTTACTGTTTGATGCCTTCTATTCAGCAAAGCCAAAGTGTGGCTGTTATATGAATAACTTGTAGTAAGTTTCATACGGGTTTATGTATCTTTTATATCAACAATGCAATATTGTTGTGTATATTTTCTTTCCCATTACTCAGTGTTTTATCATGGAAGTAAATGTCATCACTCAAAATTCCCCTGACACCTTAATTTCATCAGCCCTTAAGCTACTAAGAAAGAAGTCCTCTCCCAAAGAACTGACAGTGAGTTATTTTCAGCTCTTTCATTACAGAAATAAGATACCTTAAAAAAATCTTCTTTAAAATCCTCTGAATGCCTGCACTCAATTACTACATCACCCTTTCTCTAACAATCAGTTTTACTTTTAAACAAAATTTAAGTTTCCATGGCAACATTTCATTTTCTTGATTTGCTTAATATATCCTATAGAACACACGGGCAAACGAGGGCTGAAATAACAGCAAGCACTGCTAATTTAAATAAATGCAACATACTGTGCATTATCCTACTTGGCTACTCAAGTAAGAGACTCTGGGAGACCATGTCCAACTTTTTTTTTTTGACCTTGACAAACAGAGCTACAGCAGTACCCAGCAATCATAAATATTCTGCCTCGTGATCACAGGGCAATATTGTCTCAGAAACACCTCCTGACCAAAGTGAAAGTATGTTTTTCCAGTAATGCCACATGCTGCTTAGGAAATTCTCCTCTGAATTTCCTCTGATAAGTGTCTCTGCAAGCTGAGTCAAAAAAAGGATGTGTTTATGTGCTGTGTGGCAACTGCTGAAAGAAGTCACCTTCTGCTCAACAAGAAAAACAATCCCATCAGCCAGGAAATAACTGCAGGTCAATCACAAGATTTATCTATATACCTAAGTGGAATGGATCCAAAAGTTTTAGAAGGTATTTAACTAAGCCACCAAATAGGATGCAAGCAGAATATAAAGTTATTTCTTTCTGTCTGGGAAAGGGAATAGACAAGTTTCCAACAGAAGTGGTGCTCCGAGCACAAGAAAGGGGAAAACAAAGGAAGGCAAGAACAAATAAATAAGCAATAATTGAAATGATGAGTATCTTACCTAGCTTTGGAAATACTATTAAATACTCTGCATTGCACTGAGGACAAGCAACTCTGGCAGTGCTGTTTCCTCTCTGCTTCTCATCCACCCAGCGCTGCAGACAGGTCTGATGCACCCATTTGGTGGAGCCCCTGCAGCGGCAGGGCCGCACCCACTCTGCTGTCCGATCATCCTCGTCCGTAGCAAAGCAAACCCAGCAGCTCCTGCAAGCACAGGAAGGAAAAACAAAGCTGTTTGCTGCTGCTTTTACATGCTAAAAATAAACATTCACATGTGAAAGCATACGGCTTGAGAAAATGTGCATCTAGAGGAGATGAGGGTTATTACTTCACTCTTAATCACCAGAAGTGTAAGTATTTTGTACCAGTTTTGCTAGAAAATCAACACATCATAAGCATAACTTTTCAGATAGCTAAACAACTGCTTTATACATTCTGAATTATTAATTAAAATTTAGATAATTTATGATTAAAAAGCACTGAGACTATAGGCCAACCTTTGAATAATTCAACATATGGAAAATCCATATTTTTTTAATGTTTTATCATCTCCTTCTACAACATTTTGGTAAGTTTTTTTAATTTTAAAAATATAAGATCAATACTGTAGTCTGTTACTTGGGAAACTAAGTCCAATCCACTTAAATAATAAAACAACACAAATGATACAATATACCACAAAAAACTCTAAACAATTATATCAAATTCGTTTGCTCTCTTGGAAAAAACGAAGTGTTTAGTTCAAACAAGTTGACTTTGTACAATATAAATTAGGTTACAAAGTACTTCAAGAATACTATTGCACCAGTAGAGGAGGAAATTTCTGCTTTTGACAATTATGTGGGCATAAAAATTCAAATATATTAATCTGTAAGGAGAAAACACAGGACTGACAGTCTATACAACCTCACCTGAAGTGAGCATAGAACCAGGAACTCCCAGATATCTGGTCTGATGATTAGGCCAGACTTTTGGCCAACTTATAAGACAAAGCAAAATATGGATCTAAACTAGGAAAATATCAGGTATGTTCAGCCAGTAATTTTTACTGTGAAACAATTTGCTAATTCCCATACTGAAGATACTGAAGTTTACATAATAAACCAGAATCTAGCAAAATAAGAATATTACTATACATTTATATATATATATATATTTATAATGGTCTGATTAAAAAAAAAATAAATTTATGCAAGTCACTACAATCATAGTTAAACCCTTATAAAGGAGCACAGCAACAGCCTCCTTATAATTCAACCTCCAAGACACAATCTAATTAGACACTGTGACCAAACTGAAGTTTAACATCACAATTTTGATGAAGTTTTGTTCTCTTAACAACTTGTGTAGCAACATTAAGACAAACCACTAAAAGGTTTCTTATCTGTAATGAGTAACAGACAGTAACTGAGGAAGAAGAAACTGAGAAATGCTCTGACTCTCGTAAACAAAACAACTTTATTATTTGAGAATAATGATTGTAGATTCTATGCCAGGATATTACAGTGCTCACAATGCTTTTCCTCTCACTTTTGCTTTTGTTTAACTCCTCTGAGGAAAAGGAAGGGGGAATTTGCAATGGGAAATTTAATTTTGTCCCGCTGCAACTTCATGACATGAAAAATATTGTTGCCTAACAGCTTTGCTTTTAAGACCTTGCTGTTTTGGCTAGTATTCTATTTGTAAACTGAAAGTGTTCCTTTACAGAAGAATAGCCATGCTTTTCTAATAGAAATGCCTGTGCCTATCAAGTACTTGCAAGCCATTCTTTAAAGCATGAAATCTTTTTAACATCTACAGTAGTAGAAGTATGGTGAAAAAGTTACAAGTGTGTCAGAGCAGAAGGCAACCTGGAGCAATTTTTTACTTGTAAAAAGGGAATATAATTGAGCACATTGTAAAAGGCATACATACAATTGGCATACTTGTAAAAGGGAATACAATCTGAGATTCAGATTCCAGGGAAGACCAGAGAGAAAGCAATTTAATACTGAACAATCCATAAAATGAACCTGTAATGTCCAGTTTTAATTACAGAACACATTATCGTAGGTACAGATGTAAATTTACAGTGTGGTGATCTAAAACTAGAGCTTTTCAGTTGATGACATCTGGAATCAGAACTGTAGTTTCTTCCATTCATCTTAATGGGAAGGTAAAATCAAAGGCTGACTTATTTACATTAAGAATCCCCAAATTTACTTTAACAACAAATAATACCATACAATACTACTGATAATTGTTCCTCTTCAGAAGTTTTTTTCTGCATTACAGGTAAACATTCACTCACTCATTCCATATCCTATTTAAATCTACAACTGCACTGAATTTGTAATTCAGATTTTTATTTATAAATTAAAGGCTTCACAACAGAGCTAGTTAGGTCTAAGGATACCATCACAAAATGCAAGTCTAGAGTTTATTCAAATAATGACAGATTTAAGCATGAACATAATCTTGCTACACTGCAATTTTAACTGAATTTGTCCGTGACAATGGTTATAGATTGAATTCTGTTCTCAAGTTCTCTGTCAAGGTTAGTAAGTCAAGAAAAATATGCACCTTTTCTTTAATTGCTTCTTGCCAGCCAATCATGCTTGAAAACCTGAAAGACCTATGAAATGAGTAACAAAATCCTTCACAGACTTAAACCTTCAGCAAGTCATGAATAATGAACAGTAAATTCCCTGTATACTGTCATCAGCTTTATCTCTTTCCATTGACAGCAGCTGTAGCAGAAAGGACTAAATAAAACCATTTCAAAACAGGTATCTAGGCTCTTGCCAGATTTTCCATTTTCTTGTACTGAATAAAATATGACCTTGATTCTTACCACTGAATCAGGCTGCTACTCAGATAACCTGAAATAGAAAGGGCTGAAAAGGTGGAACAAAGGATTGTTTCTGACAGAAACTCGAACCCTTTTCCTTGATGACTTTCTACATTGCCAAATCAATAACACCAATATATTTTTCCACACTTCCTTGGCTCAAAAAAAAAAAAATCAAAACAAAACATACAAAACTCCAGACCATATCACTATTGCAGCTCTGAATATAGGGTTACAAATGCCTTTTAGATTCAGCTCCCCAGCAGATGAAGCTTTCCTGTCTCAAAAATTCTATTCTGACCCTGAGAATAAAGCATTTTTTGGATCTGTTTTTTTTTTTTTTTCCCTCTAACAAAGCCAACTCTTTTCAGGGCACTGCTTGTATTAAGAGCAAAGCAGTTGGGGAGAAAGCTGTATAGAAGATTAGAGATCCTACACTCCAAATGTTACATGACTAAGAAACCAATGCCTGCCTAAAACCAGGTTCCTCCAAAGCACAAGTTTCTTACCAGTAAGGAGCTTCTCTCTCTGGTACCTGCTTGGAGCTGCAGCTCCAACACATCCCTGAGACCTCCAGGATCAGACATACCCAGACTGCTCTGCTTTTTGTTGAGCTACACCCCTTCTAGAGGTTACTTTTTTCCAAAACCAGTCTTGGATGGGAGGGAAAACAGTGTTTAATTCATGTTATTTAAATCAAATCTGACTCAATTTGTGAAAGCTGAATCCATCATGAAACAGTTTTGTTTTCAAGCAGGCATGACTGCGTAAAGCAACACAAAAAAGCCCCAAAAGCCCAGCAGGTATCCTTGTATCCACAACACTTAATGGAAGATGACTTGCTAGACTGGGACAGTACAGCTGTTTTATGATCTGGTTTCAAATATTCAGTACTGAAGTAGGAATGGAAACATCTTGGAATTTTCCCCCTTATGTTCAGTGGCATACAAATATGAAGGATCAGTAATACCAGAAAACTTCTCAGAACAGAAAGCCCTATTTGACTTTTAGATCTAACTCTTACCGTGGGAAATGCAAATTTGAACATGCATGATGTGCTCTAGAATCATGAGCTAGAAACACATTTTCCCTCTCATTGCAGTGCATTCACAAAACAAAACATTTTCTGCATTTCTCTAAAATCATAAAGCTCTGTTCCTTAAAGTGGCAGGAATTTGCTGATATCTTGCTGCAAGAGTAAATCATCCTTGTCCTGCTAAACACAAGGTGTCAGAGCAGCTTATTGCAATTGAATTTCACATCCAAAAAGAAGAAAGTGAAAAGGCTGAAACACAACTGATAACAACAGTAGCACAGAGAGCCAAGTCAGTGAGGGGTGAAAAGGCACCTTGAAAGAAATGACCAAAAGCATTCCAATCACCAGCCATAAAATGGCACTGTTCTAAAGGATGACCCACAAGTCTGCTGTTTGGAAAAGGCAATTTTTCATGAGCTTCTATAACAACTTTTTATGCATAGTCTATGTCAACAGGTAAAATATCTTGGATGATGAACAGGGATAAGCTTTACACTAAACTTGCCAGCTACACTCTAAGCACTACAAGATCATGTTTAAGTTGGAAGACTAGGATGTCAGAAAAATGGAGTTACCAGCATTAGGCTGCTTTGGAGCTGGTTGGAATTTCAGCAGGGGGACAGCAAACTGTTCTCTCAAAAAGCAAGAGAAACACCTCATTGCAAATGCTACCACTAAGCATTTCCTCCTCCAGAGTGTGAAGAACCAGCAGCAATAAGATCTTGTGCTAGAGGCACACTGCATGGTCACAAGAGAATGTAAGCCCAGCCTACAAATCCCTGATAAAGGCTACAAAGGAATAACCTGAGAAATGTTCACAGAGGAGATGAAGTGCCAGAAGAGATGAACCCACCTGTAGGATGGAACACTGCTCTCTCCCCAGTATTTTCCCGGCCATCAAACACACAAAAAAATATTTTATTCTTCAATCCAACACCTGCCTATCAAACTCCAAACACCCTTCCACTATCTTAACAGGAAAAACACACAAGGGAAATACACTGAGTGAAGAACAGACACTGGTGCAAAAATAGTGGTCTTGGATGCTCCTTGGGGACTTCAGAAGGTGCTTTTAAGGCAGCACGGCACAGCAGCCATATGCCAGCCTGTCTCACTCAGCCAGAAAACACGCTGGCACTTTGAAACAAGTCTAAAATTCTCAAAGCAAGTCCTGAAAGTCATCTGACCATAGACCCAATTCTGCTCTGCCTAGTCATCAGGGATAGCCTGCAAAGCTGAGTAAAGGAGATATTGTTAAGAGCCCAGATAGAACAGTAAAGACACTTTACTACAAAAGCAATGCTTTCAACAAAAACAGCTCAAGTACAGAAAATCAAG